GTATTTTCAGCAAAAATATGGGACGGCAGGACTCCTGTTCCCAAATATGAGCAGCAAATTAACTGCATGACACACAGGATGAGTCCAGAATCGACTAAAACCTCTTCCACCTGAGTCACTTTACACCAAGTCCATTTTGTCCTTGGATTAAAGGCTTAACTGGACAGCTGGCGGCCCTCCATGGGTGTTGGCAGATTAACAGCTGGAGGATGGGATATAGTGCACAGCTTAAGCTTAGTTCCCAGCCTCTAAAAGCAAAACCTGAGATGATATTTATTTGAAAAGATGGTTCCAAGAAGCAGTGAGGGAAAGGGGTGCTAATTAGAGAGGAAGGAAGAAACAATACAATGTGTGCTGTGGAGATGCCTACTTCTACAAGAGCCTGCTTTTTAAAAAAAATTTTATTTTTGTCTTTTTGAGACAGGGTTTCACTATGTAGTTTGGCCTGGTCTTGAACTCACAGTGATGCTTCTGCCTCAGCCTTCCAATTGCTGGGATTACAGGCATGTGCCACCATGCTTGGCCTAGAAGAGTCTGCTCATACTGGCACTATTTGAAAAGACACATGAAGTATAATTTAGCACTGCCTTTAGAGGAAAGGGAACAGGAAGCACTGGTCTACAGCTTTCAGTCTCCTGTTAGTCAAAGGTTGCAGCATGTAGCGTTAATTCCCCTGCATTTTTGGATGGCACACACAGGGTCAGAAACCATGGAGCAGGAAGCAGGTGATGTGTGGTCTGTCCAAAGGGAGGCACTGTACACTTCCCCTGCAAGAAATCTACAGAAACCTGGTTGAAAATGATCAACACAAGCATGGATGAGACAAAAGATGAGGTCAAGATTATTTGCAGTATATGCAGTTTACTTTGCTTCAGCTTGTATGTATTCAACTAACAATAGGTTTTCACCTTTCCCTTCCTGTCTCTGGGGTGCTCCAAATGGATGGGAGATCTGAAAGCTGAAATCCTTAACATGTATCTCAGCAAGTTTCTCCCTGCCATTCTGGTTTTTCTTAATGCCTTTTCATCTCCTAGGAAATAAGAAATGGACCATTGACCAATTTTCTGAGTGAGTATGAGCCATCTGGAACGCCAGCTGGGAGGGATGAACCACTTCATCCTCTTTGAGGTTTCTTTGCATCACTTAGGTAGCAAAACATGATTCAGCATTAACTGCTGATTATGAATCTCATTTCAGCTTCTTGTGTCTTGTAATCAGGGAAATTCTCTTCTATTTCCACAATTCCCTGCTTGGTGTGGTCACAGGTTTGCAGTCTTTTATGTAATCTTATATGTAGGTGTGTTAGAAGAAAGTGGGAAGATATGGAGTCAATCTTCATTATAACCTGGAATGAAGTTTCTTTACTCTTCTTGCCCCACCTTCCTAGAGGGACATATCCATCTTCTGCATAGACACATATGGTTAGTTGTTAGGCTTTTCTTCATTCAAAAGGAGGTGTTAATCCTCTTCCTTGCTCAGCTGCTCTTAAAGTGAGGCTACAAATTTGGCCAAACTCAAGGTGGCTACTTTGCTGGTTATTGTCTGGGATAAAAGCCTCTGTCTCACTCATAGACACTTCGGGAGGAGAGCAATGTGATGTTCAGGTAGTAGAATACTCAAGATTCTACAAAGCTACACTTGGAGTAGGTCTGTCTTTCAGAGAAATGTGTAGCTGGGCTGCTTTCTTTGGGCCCTTCATTTAAGAGCTTTTACTGAGAGGGTCTGTGGCAAGAAGCATGCATTTGGTATTGTGTTTTGCTAAGGATATTTTTTTCTTTGCTCAGAAAGGGTCTCTGTGCAGTTCAGGATGAGTGTGAGCTCACTTTGTAGCCCAGGCTAGTCTCCAACTTGCAATGATCCTCCTGCCTCAGCCTCCTGAGTGCTGGGATTACAAAACTGCACCACCATACCTGGGAAGAATTTTGTTGAAGCCAGTATTTCAGCAAAAGCATAGAAAATAATTTCATCTAGGTTCTGTGGCAGGAATACTTTCATTTATGATGAAAAATTGCTTAAGTTTACCCTTATGGACATTGAGTTAACTAATTGATCGTATTTTCTTTGCTTTAGATGGTAGAAATATCAAGTTTTTGAACCTCATGATATATGGTAGATTTGGGCGATTGATCTTTTACATGGTATTGTCTTATCTGTCCTGCCCTCATATTCTTACATTCTGCTGTTTTTACCTTTTTATATAATTAGATTTTCCATGTATAAAAGTAAAGTTGAGAAAATACAGAAATTTATAAGCATCATTTACTTGTTTTTATGATATATTTTGATACAATTTTAATGCATTTTATATTCATTTTCTTTGTGCATTTATAGTTCTTTGTGTGTTTTCCATCTATTCATTCATGCACTCCAGATGTCCTTGAATAAATAAATTTTATTCTGATGCCCATTCTATGAACTGTGAAAGCTGAAACCTTTTCATTTTCCACTGATTTCCAGGGGGTTATCATCTCATGCTTTTTTCTTGCTCCAGTTGTTTCATTTGTGGGTGGCATCTCTCTGTGGGCATGATGTCTCTACCACAAGTCAGTGGAATTTGCAAGCTCAATTTCTTTGCTAAACAGGCACACAAAGCAGACTGTGTCTCTCTCCAGAGTTGGAGCACAAAGAATGGATGTCCCTCACTGTTTATGATGGCCCTAAAGCTGGGGTGGCATTATGGTTTATATCTGAACGTCCCCCCAAAGTCTCATGTGGTCAAGGTGGCTGAATCTAGCGTTTGGGATTGGTTCAATGTCTAGTGCTAGGATTGGCAGTATGAGAGCTGCACCTGCCGTGGGGTGGCTAGCCTGCATACAATGTAAGGGAGGAAGAGTCTTGCTCTTCCCTTTTTCCCTTTTGCTCTGGTCACTTCTGTTATCTAGTGCAGCTAGCATGAACAATTGCCCCTCAGCCACGCCACCTTGCCTTGGAGTCAGCTGAGTATGGACTGAAACATCTACAAACTGTGAGCTAACTAAACTTTTCCTTCCTTCATTTTGGATGTTGGTGTTTTATCCCAGCAAAGGGAAAAAAAAGTAACTAACACAAGTGGCTTACTTAGCATTGCCATGGGAATACCTGAGCCTTGATATGTCCAAAACATTTTAGCCTCAGGTTCAGGAGTACTGGGAGAGTGTCATGAAAGATAAGTGATATTTACTTAAGCAAAGTTCATGGAGATATGACCACATAATGGTGTTAAGGGAAAGGAAATAACTCTACCATCTATCTATATCTATCTATCCACCTATATCTATCATCTATTATCATGTGTATCATCTATCTAATTATCTATCATCATCATATACCTAGCTTTCATGTTTCTATCTTTTATTTAGTTTGATGACATTTATGTAGAAAATGTATGTTTATATATATATATAGAAAAATCTAGAATGACATAAAATATTAAAAAGAATTTTAGTTGGAAACTTTCACTTTATGCTTCAAAAATTTTATTGAGTTCTTTCAAATGAGTATATGCTACGTTTATAATTTTTCTTTAAAAAGTATTTTTATTTGTGGAATGAAATGTGATATCCCCCAAATTATTTTTGTTATTAGGGATTGTACAAGATTTTTTCCTTCTTTCTAATTTTCTTTTCTCATCTATTACATTTGTGGCTAACAGAATAAGTGTGATTAACATGACCAAGGACAAAGTAGCAAGGATAACTAGCTGGCTAGACTCCCAGTTCCCCACTTAGGACCCATACTGGGAAGTACATACTCTCCAGGGTTAAGGGGCTGATGGTACCATATCTAGGTTCATCAGGCATAGGAACTCAGCTAAGTTCCCAAGAGTGAAAGAAAACAGAGTGAATCCTAGACACTAGCCTTGCAGCTTACACTTGTATTTAGACATGTATAAGGTGTGTACAGATAGTGAACTTCAGAGTTCATTCTAATTGTTTATTCTGTCTAGAAAATAGAGACCATATACATCCAACTCAGATTTGCAACCATACCATAGTTTGAAACTGGCTTGTCTCTTTCCTCTTGAACTCTCTGCCATTCTCTAACAGCTACAACATTTAAAACAGCTTTAGCTTTCTTAGCTTTAGCATGTAGTGCACTCATCTAGGGTACTTGTTAAACATGTAGTCTTCTGGCTGCCATCTTGGACCCAGTGAATTAGACTTGGCAAGTTTATATGTTTCCCAGGTGCAGTGATGTGGGTAATCTGTACTCTGAGATTGGAGCCTGAAAGGCTGTATCAGGCATGTTTAATCTCAGCGTTCATTGGAAAATTGAAAAGAGAGGTTTTTTCCCCCTGTCTCTTGATTCTGAGCATTCCATGTAACTACCTTTGTCTAGTGGGATATTACAGATACTATTCAAGCAAAGGATCACAAAATACTTTGCAACTGGGCTTTCTCTTTATTGCTTCTGCTAGGAGCATCACCAGAAGCATATGTCTAGGATAGCTTGTTGGTCTCATCACAGGAAGATCAGACATACATAAAGCAGAGTGCACCAGCTAATGCATGCAACCTAGAATAAAGCCAATTCACAATTGATCCCAGCTGAGATTAGATGCACTCTACCTTCAGATGCTGAGTCCCAACTTACTATTGTAAAAGATGGTTATTATAGGTTAGTGTGTTTCAGAGTGATTTCTTGTGCAGCAATAACTAGCTGATACATCTGGATAGCTTGTTTGAATGCAGACCTTGAAACTGTGATGCTGTAGGGGCTTCAAACTGTGTGCTTAACAAATGTCCCCATGATTTAATGCCAGTGCTCTGTAGACTATACTTCAGAAACATTACACCCGACTCTTTCTAGCAGCTCAATGTGTACTCCTGGGAAATCCTTGATATTACTGATCCACAAGTTTTCATTTGCAAAGAGGGGATAATACATGTTTCCTTTGTTGTAGTTGTAAAATTTAAATAAATGTAAGTGTAAGGAAAACTAGTTAATTACAGGATTTTTTTCTTCTACCTCAATCAGTTCTCACACCCACCCAACCGCAGGAAGACACCAGTGCGAATGTCTTAGGAAAACATGAATCTCAGGGTCACAGCTTTATTGTATAGATTTTTAACACAGCCATATTACAAACATTGTCAGGGAACATTTACAAGAATAAATAAGATGGACTTGCAGGTGTAAAAAGATTACACTTCACTGTAATGTACAGTCAAAAATATATCTGATATTCATTGACCTGACATTATTTACCTTCTGCTTTTTTTAAGCTAGAATTGGAAAGAAAAAGAAAAAAAAGAACATTGACAGCACAGTGCTGGCTCCTTTTTAAAATTGATTTATTTTGTTTTCTCTTCTCATACGTGCTTTATCTATCAAACACCCAAACTGTACAAGTGCAGGCCATTGGGATTTGTGGAGGAGGCTGCAAATAATGTGGAGACTTTGGTCTCATGCAATATCATATCCTGTGGATACGAAAATGTCAGCCTCCACGAAGATGAGTAGGGATGACATGATAGCTGTTAGCTATGAGGGTGACCAGTCACCAAAGCAGCGGTAGAGGTCCCAACTCTGCCTTTGATTGGCCACTAGGATGCATAATGAAAAGAGAAGATTAAAATAGTGCTTTTGAGACTGATTACCAATATGGGTAATCTTGGGTTAACCTGAAGAAACCCAAGATTCCTCTAGTGATGGAATATATGCACTGGGAATGATTAATATCTGGTGTGCACTGTATCACTGTGCTTTTGAAATCTGTGCCAATAGGCCTTGAGTGGGGAATTGGGGTAGAAATAACCACTGGAGATAATGAACATGGTAAGCAAAGCCCTTCTCTGGATCCTGCTTGGACCTTTAGTTGATCTGGCTATTTTTGGTGGCCCCCTTGGCTAATGGGTTCTCATCAGAAATCTCAGTGGGCATCAGGTCTATGGCAAAGAAGCCATTTTTTTCTGGTTTAGTGTCTGGTGATAACCAAGCTCGGACAAGCCCAGGATTTGTGGCCAGAATAACATCTTGGCTAGTGTGTTAAGTAAGGTTGGATGTGAGAGCAGAGACATTGACCTACACAAACAAAACATGACTTGACTGCAGGTATAAATGAGTTCAAACATGTTCTCAGCCTACAGGCTCTCACCCAACTAGGATGGAAATGACCAGCAAGCCATCTCAACAATGCTTCTTCTGCCCTTAAAGAGACTCCTGGGATCTGGTGGCCAGCTGCTGAGCTGGCAGCTCATCCTCTCTAACAGTCAGCAAGTTCTCCTTTAGAGCTCTGAACTTTTCCCCATTGCTACTGGTTCCATCCACAGGAGTAGCTCAGGACTAGCAAACTGCTCGATTTTATCCAATAACCTGCAATCCTACAGAAGATATGGGCACTAGTAATCTGCCTGACTCTCTGAAGCCTGATTTTACTTAGAATGACACTGCTTTGTGCACCTCCTTGCCAAGGCTCCAGAAAACTCTGGGGACTTTGACCCCCCAAAAAACCTTATACCATTAATCTGCCTTGGGCAGAAGTAAAGTGGGTTGGGCTATGAGAGTTTGTCAGACCATCACATGAGGCCTGCCAATTTGTATTCACAAACCCAAAGGCACTGAAGTACTTATATAAGATTCAGTTTTGCAGTTACCAGTTTATTCCTTTCTTCTCTTCCTCCCCCAAATCCAAGAGCCCTGCTCAACAAGGAATCATGAACTACATTAACTACCCTGAGCTCCAGACTTTCTTATTCTTTCTTAACCAGTACTCCAAATCCCTACCTCTTATTTCTCTGGGCATTCCAATCAAGGCTCAAAGTCTGTATCATACCACCCAGAGCAGGACTCAGATGGAAGGAAGCCCCATGGTGATCTGCTCCTTAAAGCTCTTTTCATCCCGACTCTTCCCATATCCTCAGTGAACTACTAATAAGCTCTTAAGTGGATGTTATGCCAGCTTGGGGGTTACCACTGTGAATGGTGATTCCTCCTCTTGGAGACCTAACATTCAGGGTTGGACCTCATAAGTGAATGTGTTCCCTTTGATACCTTTTTCTTTCTCTTCTGAAGCTACACAAGAAATATGAAAGAGATGGTCATGATTTCTCCATGACAGTTCAACAGCCAGTCTCATTCAAAAGTATGTCCTTGGTAACCAAGAAACTAAGTCTGTTTATGTGCACAGATATGGCAAAGACATCTCTTCTGTACTTTTGGAGATAAAATCTATGGCCTTGAAATATGTGTCAGAGGAAATTGGAGTTGTCTACCACTGACCTCTTTCTGTAGCTAGGACAGTATATGACCTCAAAGGAAGACTCCTGCTAGATGAAGCCAAAACTATATTTTACAATTCCTAGATATGTTCACATGGAAAATCTTGACTGGGAGCCTTTGCATGGGAGTACATAGACAAGACTGAATCTCAGTTGTTTTTATCTAGTTGGACTTACTTTTCCTATTTCTGTTATACTTGACTGTGATTTGGAACTGGTCAAAAGCTGAGAAAAGGCTCATGTTGGTTTTGTGGTGGGAAAGGTAAGTCAGCTTTGGTTGGTAACTTGTCCCTGGGGATTTTGGCCCAGTATAGTTTATTGACTTTTTGGCTTCGGATCAACATCCTGCTTATACGGACACTTGAGTTCATCTATGTCTTTCACAGCAAGTCCTGATTCAGCTTGGTGCTGATAGCTTATCTGGTCAGCTCATGAGTGGCCAGCTTCAGACTAAGGAAATGATTTTCTTTATTCTTCCCTTAGGCAGTGAGGTCCAAGGGAATGATCATTTCCTTCACTGCTCCAGGGATGACATGGTAAGTACCAGACTATTCCCACCTGGAATTCACTTCTGTTGTCTGCAGAAACCTTCTAAATTGACACTTTTGTGTACTTTGCAGAGGTCACACCAGAGTGGTGGAGACATGGATTCTGGTAAAGACATATATTAGGATGTAAGTATGACCAGAAATGGAAGATAAATAAGCATGATTGGTCAGAGGGAAAATGATGATCACCTCTTACTGAATTTTCACCCCCAAAGCTGTGCCTTTGCTCCATTCTCCATCCTGCCATTTGACAGAAGTGACCAAATAGTTCATAAGCATCGTTGGTTGAGTATTCATTGGCTTCCAATTTCCTGGTCTTGCCTTCCTGTTTTCCTACTTAATTTCTCCCAGATCTACTCCTACTACTTGAGGCTTCCCTTTGCATGCTTATTTTTCTATGAGTTGTTTGCTCCACTATTCTATAGGCAAGAGATGACAATGCTACAGTTCAAAGACTGGTCTCTTTCCACCATCACCTCATCCCTCACCAAGGGATGCACTGTGCCACAGTAATCTGTGCTTCCTGGTAGTACTCCTCCAGTGTGCTGCATATTGTAGAAATGCTGTACCTGTATATTAAGGTAAATTAAGGGGCATTCTAGACCCAAGATCCTCATGTAAAATTTATTCACGGAGTCGCACACTTAGCAAACATTAGACTCCATCTAGACAGTGGGTACCACATTCTAGAAGCCCAGCATTCAGGAGTCTGTTGCCTAAAGCTGCATCCAGCTTGCCTTTTCCTTTGAGGGCTTTGTGGTATCATCCCTCACCATGCCAGGTGGGCAAGTCTTCATCCTTTTACTCCGTTAAAGGATTCCTCCCAGCACCCAACTGGAAGAGAGCTTAGTTGAGGCTAATCTGGGAACAGTGAGGACGAGGTACTTGCACACAAAGGTATCTGCTGACATGAGGGTGGGTGAGGTGGTTTTGAGCTTCAGTCAGGAATTGGCCTTAGTGGATAACAGCAGGTCAGATACTATATCACCGACTGGGATATTGTTCCCTGGGGTCTATACAAGGGTCTGCTGATCAAAACTACATAGAGCACATTTTAGAAAAGTATTTATAGAGTCATGTTGAGACAATCAGTTTAAATTAGGAAGTGGAATGCAAATATTGCATGAATTATTAAAATATGAGACTATAAGGGGATTTTATACTTACATTGGCTTCAGTGGGCTTACTGAGATCCAGTTACCTGTTCTACTCTTGTCTTTGCTGTTATAAGTAACCCCATGGGAAAATCTGAGACAACGGTAGATACATACTGTCTTTTGGTCAGAAAAACAGTATAATGCCTGGCTTGCTCATTTACTAGGTGTGGAGCTGTGGGCAAGTGATTTCTTCCTGGGCATCTCTGGTTCCTCAGTAAAGTGGTTGTATGGTAATCACAACCACTCTTCTTGGGAGAAATGAGCACACCTACTAGAGTCCCCAGAACAGGTTCAGCTAGTTCATGCGATGACATCTGGTGGGCAATTGCTTAGGCCACATGCTTAGATGAGGCCAATACCTAGCAAGCTGGTGCCTTTCTTCCCACACAAGAAGACTTGCTGGGCTATCTAGCAGCCCAGAGGTCCCCAGCTGGCCCTGGATCTTCACATCACCTGGGTGAAGTGACAAATGTTGTGATGCACCTGAGATATATTCTGAATCTATCTAGGCCATAAACACACACAGGGTGGGGGCAATTTCCAGCTTCTTACTAATTCCGTGCATCTTCTCTAGAAGGGGTCCCATAGGAAGATCTTTGCTAAGGGAGGGAACTCTTTGGCACCTTGTAGATGAGTGTACAGAATTCTACTGTGGAGTGCATTAATACTATCTTCCTCTGCTCTTAGAAAGGTGAGCCTACCTTGTTACTAAGGTGAGGTGAAGATATATCTGGAGATGTGATGTTTGCTTGTGAGATTTCCTGGGCAAGTTATCAAGTCTGAATTCTGGGCATTATTACCAGATATTATCCAATCTCTGCCAGGTAGCCTTTCTGTGGGATCTTAGAGAAGTCACTTCCATCCATGAGCCTTGATTCATTTTTTGTACAACACCTAAGACCAGCTCATTACCCTGCTTTCTTTGGACAGTGGGTAAATTGTGACAAAATAAACAAACACACTGGCCTTGTTGGGTTAACTCACCATGGCTTGAAGTTTTACAAGTTTCCTTCTCCCTGAAGCCACCCTTTAAATGTTTACCATTTTAGATGATAAGGCTTCTCTCATTTTTATCTGGCAGCTATTTCAACCCTTCATGAGCAGAATAAATCCGAGGGTTTGTGTGAAACAGCCCTGTATTCACCCTCAGCTTGTCTGGATGAGCCAAGATCTCAAGAAATAGGAGCCAACAGTCTGATATACCATGCTACAGGTGCCTTGGGGAAGGCCTGTTGGGGGAGTGGTCTGGAGCCACAGGAAACCAGCAGGACCAGTGAGGGCTGGGCCCTGGGATGAGGCCCATCAAAGAAGAAGAGCGAGTTAGTCCTGGGGGTCCTTTGCCTGCCTTTGCTTTGAGATTTCCTTTTGAACTTCCAAAGTGACAGTCCTTCCTTGATCAAGTCTGGTGTCCCTGGACATCTAGACAGCTCCAGAGGCTTTGCCAATGGAGGCAGCTTTCATGGGCTGCTTTCATGTCCCATCTTAGTGAGCTTGGAGGCCTGGCTTGCTGACCCTTCTCTGTGGTAAAGCAGAGATCCTGTGTCTCTTACAGGAACAGTGTCTCATGATTCACTGCGTATTTTGTTCCAGCCACAAAATAATGAGCAGAAAGACAAATAGAACAATATTAAAAAATAACACATTTTAGAGTTTGTTTTCACAGTGTCTGATGAAAGAAGAAGAGGCTGCCCCACTGGCCTCTTCAGCACTGGGGTGAGCACATCACTGTGAAGCTTTGCTAGCTTCTTGTTTACCACAGGGCAACATCTGCATTCTCTGTGTGTCATCTGTTTTCCTGACCCCAGCCTACTTCTTGCCATTCTTCCTGTCCTGCTGTGCTCCAGTTGGACTGGCCTCCTATCTTCTGTCCTTCCTGATGCCTTCCTGTACCTCTTTGCCATTACACATACTGTTCCATCAGCTTGAACCTCCTTTTCTTCCTTTTTGGACCTGATGAGACCCATCTGGAACGGATGCTACTTCCTTTAGGGAGCCCTAGACAGAATGAGGCTCTTGCATGTAAGCTCAAGTAATACGCATATACTCAACTTCTAATGTATTGTGATTCAATTTTTGCAGTACACAGTGAGCCTTTAAGGGCACAAACTATGTTTTATTGAATTCTGTACTCCTCATATTCTATTCATGGATAGACCAGCCTGTAAGATGGAGCTTCTTAGATCTCAGGACACCTGAGCCAGTCAGATATTGTACCTAAGCACTGGCTAGAGACCAAGGAAGAATATTCCTGGCTGGCTCCTTGAAAACCTGGGGGAATAGATTTATTTTTCACTGGAAGAAGAAATTAGATGAAACTAGCTTTCCAGGGGGACAGGGAATGAGTTACTAAAATACATCTGAAAATTTGAATTTCCCAGAAGAACTGGAGAAAGAAAACTAAATTTCCATTCATAAAGTTCTCTCAGAAATTCCTAGCTTTACTTTTCCTCCATTAAATAATTGCTTGACTGAGGCAGTATGAAGAAAACAGTTCAGAGAAGTTCTGTCATCTTTGTCTGCTGTTTTGGAGCCCATGATTCCATCACTGAGAAAAGTTCCTCAGTTTCCACAAAATGCAAAATGCAAAATGGAGACGATAAGAGCTTCCTGCTAGGGGCGGTGAGACTATGCAAGATGCCATATGACAAGTGCCAAGAATGATGCTTGGAGATACGTAGCAGATGTTGGCTTTCTTTCCTTGACTCATACTTTGGACAAGTCCCAGAGTCCCAGGCCTAATCCCTTTGAGTTATTTTAAACCAAAGCATGATTGGGTCCACAATGGCCTTTTGCAAGATGGAGACTAAATTTCTTTAGGAAGAAGCACATTTTTGGAGATTCAAATTATGCTCAAAGCTAGTGCTGTCTATGTCCCAGAAATCAGGGATCATTTTCTGACTAGCCCATCTCTCCTTTGCTTATGGGCTGTACTCTCCCTGGTGGGAAGCTTTCAAGGACATAACCAGATACTATAATAGGCTCAAGAGACTTGTCTCATAACTACATAGTTAAACTCTCACCTTAACTTTTTGACAGAAGAGACTAAGATTTTACACCCTCAAAAGAAAATTGCTTTTCACATACACTTGGGAAAATAATCAAATCTTATATTCTTCATCCCTCCCAGAGGCAGCTACCACCCAGGAGAAACAGGAGTTACATTGTACAAGCCACCCAGAGCCCTGTACCAGGTTGGTCCCTTTTACAAAGTTCTAGCCCCTCTTTCCCACGGACCACAAACAGAAAAGAAAATCTTTTATGAAATTGTGCTGTGGGCAGAGCTGCCTGGCCAGGAATGACAGATGGACAAGGCCTGGGCTGGGGGAGGGGTACAGAATGGTGGTGGGCCAAGTCCCATGCAGATTAGGTGTGAGGTTGAAGAGGAGCCAATGCTGTTGTCCAGGATTCATTCTGAGGTCACCCTGATCCAGATGAGCAGGTGTCTGCTTTCAGAGATCTCTGAAGGAGATTGCAGGGGGCATCAGAGAAGTGATTTCCAAATCCCCATTCTTTTCCATAAAAACTACATGGAGGAGTAGAATTCACATTTCCAACATTCCTAAGAGAAGGAGGCAAAAAGAGCTGCTGGCCAGCCTCTCCATCCCCAGCACCTGCACAGTTGGCTTGCTGTAAGAATCACAAACTCCAAAAGAACAAAAGCAAGAGGTCTGGGAACCACAAGTCCAGGGCCTTGTTTGTGGGTGCACTTCTGTTTGGGCCCGAGGTTGTGGCTGGTTGGGTGTGGAAGGGATCCTGGGCTTGTGAGTTTAGCATCTCCCACAGGTACAGGAGACCCCTTCGGAAGGTGCAGAGCCCACCACAGAACACAGAGCCACCCATCTTCCTTGGAGTTACGCAGGGGTGCTACCTCTGAGTCCCTGGGCCCAGTCACTGCCATTCAGAGAAAAAGGGGCTTGACCGCAGCAGCCTCTGAACTCTGGCAGGTTTCTCCATCCCACTGGGCTAAAAGGAGCTTAAATATTCCAGTGCCACCTCATATACAAATTTATACTGTTCCTGAGAGGAGGGGAGGCAGAAGAGGAGACAAGAGGGATAAAAAGGAAAGAGAAGACATGTTAGATTAGAGATATAGACTTTGGAGAAAATTTTATCTGCATCCATAGTAAAACTCCACAGGAAATTATCTGTATCTGGACATCCTTCAGAGTTCTGCTTGAGGCCAATTTCTATCCCAGCTTTCCTGAATACCCAACTGGGATAATTTCCTTTATTTTTAGGATTTTGTACAACAGTGCTTCTCAAATGATAACGTGCATACAAAAAATCCAGGGATAGCTGTTAAAAATGCAGATTCTAATTCAGTGAATCTGGGGGGAGGGACCCAGGATCCTCCATTTGAAACAAACCCTTAGGTTTAGAGGTTGTTGCCTGAGGTCTGCATAGTAGGACCTCATTTTGAATAAGATCACACTTTGAGTGGGTTTAAAAACTTGTAATCAAGTTCTGTATGTAGGATCTGTTTCCATCACTGTACCAAGTCTCATCATTTTGGGCTCAGCCTTTCCATTTTTTTACTATCTTTTTTAAAATAGAATCATAGCTTAATTCTTTATACTACAAAAATTAGCACAAATGAATTAGAATAGGTGTGGACTGCATTGAAACCATAATTCTTCCTCTTCTAATCTAGAATTCTTTCCCTTAAGCTTGAATTAGCAACATTTTCCTAAGGAATGGGCAGGGTGTCAAATAAAAGAGGTGCACTGCGATTAATATTTTGATTTCTCTGCAGACAGAGAGAGCTTGGTAGAACTACGAGGTGGACAAATGCAGATTCTAATTCAGTAAATCTGGGGAGGGACCCAGGATCCTCCATGTGTAACAAACTCTCAGGTTTGGAGGTTGTATACAATAATGTATACAAAGGGCAGAGACTCCAGGGACCCACTAAGCACTCAGCTATTGAAGGATTTTAGTAGTTGATATCATTTCCTTTAAGTCCAAGGAACTATAGTGAGTCCCTGGCTGTTGAAGAACAGTTTTTGGGACACTCACCAGGGTCTCCACCATGTTAGATTTGTTATTCCGCAGAGTCTTCACAATGTGGAACACGTCGATGATGTTTTGCTGCTGGATCATCTCACACACACTGCAGATGGCACAGAAGGTTCCGCTGCGGCCTCCCCCATTTCTAAACACAGAGAGAAGAGGTCAGCTATATTCCAGTCCTCCCCTCTCTGACACCTGGTGATTTTACAGTCACATTAGGGTAGAGAGGTGGCTACCTTGGCAAGTGCAAGGTAATGCAGTGGTGAAAGCATTAGCCTGAACCACGAGTTCTGATTTGAATCCCATTTGGGCCATGGAGCTTCTTTGATCTTGGACACGTTGCTTTTTCTATCTAAAGTGCAATTTCTCATTCATGTAATAAAGGCATTGGACTAGATGACCTGTGATGACTTGATTTTCCTATGTTTCCTTGATTCTATGAGCATGTGACAGTAGGCCTTGGGACACCTACCCAAATCTCCATGACAAGATGCCATTGTGTCTTTGGACCTGGGGTACCTGTATCTTTGCCTAGAAGGATACTCTGATTCTACCTACATATCCAGTGAAGACAATGGAAGGTTCTAGGTGATTTTCCTACTTTTTCCCCCCGCCTCATCTTCTTTGAGGAGTAACTCAGTACCATCCAGCCCAGATTCAGGCTTGTGGTTTCAGGGGGTGGGGGTTATATCCTAAAATACTAGGTCTTTACATATACATCTTCATCAAGACCTTACCGATCTTGAGGATATAAACAGTGTTCTTGGCAAGGCCATCTTTCTCTTACTCCTTCTTTCTGAAGCTCTATAAATCATCTTCGTGGAAATACCCCTCAAACTCCTTATAGAAAGTTCCTTTAGGAATCTACCTGATTCCAAACTCCTGGGCATGTTGCCAAGAGCAGCTAATGATTTTCTGTAATGGGCTGTGTCTAAAGAACATCTGGACAGAAACTAAGGCACTTACTCAGTCTCTCAGATGTTTTATCCAGAAGACACCCATCAACCAGATGTTTCAAACCCAGATAGGTGTCCTCCCTTCACTGACTCGTGGCTCCATTTCAGTGGCTGTTATGGTTCCCAGGACCCCCAGGGATCCTGAGATTCCTGTTGGTGGATGACACTCCTGTGCTTTCCTTCAATTCAAACTGCGAGTCACCTTGTCTAGGGCAGGTATAGATAAAAAGGCACTTTTGCAAAAGAGAGCAGGCTAAAAAATCTCATAAGAGAGGAGGAAAAGTTCCTGGATAAAGAGGATCAGTATTTTCTGAAGCAAGAACAGCAGAGCCCAGGAGGACCAGGTAAGAGGATGCAAAAGTCTCAGGGCCTGGTGTCCCTGGTGGCCTTGTGCTACTCACGGGCCAATCTGAATGTGTGGGATGGAACCGGAGACAGCAGGAGTTACTTGGTCAGGAGCCAGCTGCCAGATTCTGGGATATGGGCAGAGTCAGCTTGTCATGGCTGATGTTGCTCACCTGCCTGACATGCACACAGCACACCACTTATCACCTTCCTGGACTCCACTTGGAAATTTGTGTGTTTCGGGAAGGGATTTTTGTTAGAGTGGTATCCCTTAAGCTCTGACTGTGCATGGTCTCTTTAACCTCCTTCAAGCTCTCTGGCTTTTTTGGCATGTATGTGCACTGCCTATTTGAGAAAAATTGAACAATTATCTGGTTTTGAAAAGACTCAATTTTGAGGTCAGTGAAATATTAGTAATGCCTCTACTTGGCTCCAGAAATGGTTTGAAAAGAGAAAGTTTTGCTTCAAGTTTCCTGTAAAACAGTATTTTCTAGAGGGAAAGGGGCTCTCAGTCCCTTGTCCCCAAGTCATTTAAGCTTGAATAAACAAAGTAATTAATTGTGAATCGGACATTCCACACAAAACTGGTAAGGGTGAAGATTTGCTATGGGTCTGAGATCTTTGTAGCATCCTTCTCTCTGATCTGTTTATATTCTTACAGTAGACTCTCACACTTGCTCTTTTAAGTAATTTCCTTTGCAGCATTTGCATAACAAACCATGACACTGTCAATCTCTCTGATGACCAACATATTGTTTGTATTTTCCGTTTCTTACCAAAGCACTACAGGATCTAAAGATGATCTAATTCTACACACCCAGTGGAAAGATGATAAAATTGAGGGTCACAACATAAATGATTTTCCTAATGCTGCACAGCTTGTCAACCACAGTCCTGTAAGGTTCTGACTTTCCCCAAGCATAATGACACTGGGGTCCATTTGACTGTGCTGGGCTAATTCTAAGACAGAAGAAAAAGCTGCAGTTCATAACAGTAATGGAGACATAAACACTAATTGTAAGGCACTGTGACGTTGTCACAGCCCCTCAGAGTAGTGTCTTGCTTTCATGCATTCCGTGTCCTCACATGCCCACTAAGTCACAGCAGATGTCACAGGAGGCTGTCTTTAGTTTACTCAGAGGCAATGTCACTCGGTGCATGGTACATTATCTTAGAGTCCGGTGACCACAAATCACAGTTCCTCTGTCAACTTGCTGATCTCTTCCTCTGTTTGCGCTTCAGTTACCTCTCTACAAAATGATAATATCTACCTGCCAAATGGAATGAGGTGAATCATTTAAAATACTGGGCTTCCATTAAGCTAACTTAATGCCTTCTTTTACAGGAAATAATATAGGAAGTTCTGGTCAGAGGGTCCCACTGTGTTCGGAGCTTGGTTGTAACTACCAAGACATATCATGCTTCCTTTTGGAGAGTGGGGCATACCTCCAGTTTTGAAGCACTGGGAAAAGAGTTCACTTCCCCCATGTTTACATCAATAATAGTATGACATATAAAACTAGCTTATCACAACTAGAGACCTCAGCCTATTAAAAGATTATAATTCCTTTTAATATATTAACATACTTATGGTGTTTAAGGACATTAAGATGTGGTATAGCTGAACATGCCTAGGACAGGTGTATGTGACCCGTAGAATCTCTAAACACGCCCTTTCACCCATCATCCCATTGTTCTGGAGACATTTCCTTAATACTCACAGGCAGTGGACCACTGTGCGGCCCTCCCTCCCATCGTACTGCTCTTGCCACTTCTCCAGCCTCCGGACCACTTTGAGCAGAGAGCGCTTGGAGGGGGGCGTGTCCCGGTAGGCAGGCCAGCCAATGTACTGGAGGTGCTGGACGATACGGTATCCATCCTGGGGCTGAGAACAGAGGGCTTATTAAGATTCTTATGTTGGGAATGCAAGTCATCCAGACTAAATGGGCTCTGAATCATGCCATCATGGAAGTGCCACAGACTATCCTTTTCCTTATCACTACACCTCGTGTGCACTGATTCTCTTCTCTCTACCTGGGAAACTCCTCCTTAGTCATCAAAGACCAATTTTAATATCTTTTTCTTTAGGGGCACCATCCCTGATGCTAATGAACCGAGTTCTATTTCCTTGAGGTTCATATATCTACCTTCCCTTTAGATAGTAAACTCTAAGAGTAGGAACTGAACTCCATTCCTCCTTGGCTCCCAGTTGAGATCAATAGTTGGCCACCATCTCATAGATTACTGTTCTGTTCCCTCTAGCCCAACACTCCTTCATTCCTCCAGTGAATAAATATCCTCATGAAAGCAATTCATTATTTTCCATCCTGATATGGGCAGGATCCAATCCAAACTTTACAGGATCAGCCAAAGACTGTATCAGCTGGTGCCCAAGTGGTGTGGCACAGTTAATGTCTAGGGAAGTTCAGTCTACATGGCATCAATTGTGTCAGGAAATAGGCAGATGGCAGGCTGGATATCGCTCCTTGCATCTCTCCTTGGAGCATTGCTGGGTCTGGAGCCGGAATCTGCAAAGCATCACTTCCCCAAAGAAGAGATTACCAGGAGTGTGTCTCACAGACTTGGCTGGCTCAGTGGGCTCTTCTCCCAGGAGCTTCCATCTGCTTTTCAAAGGAGGCTGCAAACTTACCCGAGCCATGTTACAGATGCGGAATATCCTGTGGATGATGTCCTCATCGATGTCTGCTGAGACAAACTCCACCTGGATGGGCCCATAGCACCCAGACGTCTTCTCAGGCCAGTACTGCATGCAGAGCTGGGGAAAGAAAGGGAGCCCAAGACAAAGCAGGGGAGAGGGGAGTGTCATTTATCACCATGCCTTTCTTACCGCTGACAGGCACACTGGCCAGAAAGAACATCAGGTAGTAAATTAGAGTCAGCTCCCCACGGGGGAGCAGATGGCCACTTTTGGGGGGTTGAAATGCCAAGGCTCTGAACCCAGAAACTATTCTTAAATATCTGTGTTTTGCTGACCTCAAAAAATTTGTTATCCCTGGTAGACCTCAGTTTCCTCATCTGCAAAATGGAGAAAATAGAGTCTACCTTCAAATGCTGCCACCAGGTTAGACACAAAGTTCTGAGAGAATGACAGGTGCAACGAGTTTTTTCTTTTTCCGCCATGGAAATCATGGCAAACTTTTTCCACTTCTGGAGTCTTACACAGTGTTTGCTCGTTCATGATCAGATCATGAGTTATTAAAAAATTATACGTTTTTGTCTCTGATAGTCTTGGGTACAAACCCGGGCTCTGTTGCTTACTAATTATATAACTCAGATCTCAGCTTTCTCACGTGTAAATTGGGGAAAATTGTGTTTTCCTGCACTGTGAAAAAAATCACCTAGAATTGAGAAATCTTGCTGATGATTTTTCCAAAATTTTCTGGAATTGGGAATTAGCACCTCCAGCTGAGAGGAATGCATAATGGTTACCCCTCACTCTAAGACAGGTTGTTTCATTTCTACCCCCAGGGGCTACCTGCCAATGTTCTGGACATTTTTGTTGTTGTTCTGAGACAGAGTCTTGCTTTGTAGTACAGGCTAGCCATGGGAACTCACTGTGTAGCCTAGGTTGGCCTTAAATTCATGGCAATCTTCCTGCCTCAGCCTCCCAAGTGTTGGGAGTACAGGTGTGTGCCACTATGCCAGTTTGTCCAAGACATTTTTGATCATCACACTTAGAGGTTGTTGTATACAGTTAGTGAGTAGACGCCAGGCTATTGCTAAATATCCCATAATGTATATAAGAGCTCCCTGCTGAATGTTTTCTGGCCTCAAATACCAGCAATGTAGATACTGAGAAGATCAGTCTTAGACAATAAATTGTTCTTTAAAGTTACAAGTATTATCAAAAAGAGAGATGAATATGTCATTCCCTTGTATCTGTCGAGCTGCTAGATGGCTTTCCTTGGGGAAAGAATATTGAGCTAGGTGGCAGGATATGTGGCTGCCAAGGGGAAGGCCTGCTCCCTCAAATTCCCAGTTCCGGAAGGGCATAGAGATGGATATTGCCCAAGTCTGCAGGCCTAAGATTTGGGCCACAGAAGAGAGCAAGACTCGGTCTGTAGGCTCCCTGGAACCACCCCAACCTGAGCAGGAGCCATGTGATAGAAAGGAAATCTGGGCATTGCCCAGAATATGCAGCCAGGATTCCTAAGGATGCACCAAGCTTTCTGAGAGCTCCTGGAGACTGAAGCTGTCACTCGTGGGGTCTGCCCTCAACCACGCTCAGCTTGCAGATAAGGCACTAGACTGATACAGGTGTCCTAGGGCTGTGCGGTGGCCTCCTCTGATACAGGGTTTTCAAGGAAGGGGATGATTATTCCCTTCCTTCATGGATGGAGACAGAGACTCACTTTAGGAAGCCATGTACCAAAGTATCTTTTATTTTCTCCTTTCTTCAGAACTAGAGTTAGAGGGAAGAGTAGAGAGGAGGGGGGATATAAGAGAAGGAAACTCATGTCTCCTATTTAAGTGTGGAAATCCAAAATTTAGCCTAGGGATAACACCATTCACCTTATTAGCAGTAGTCAGTACACTGTAGCCCAAAGACCATAGTAAAGAAAGTTTTACAAGTACAATTTTACTGGAGGACAGCTACACTTCTCGTTGATGTATTATCTATGATTGCTTCATGCTATAACCACAGAGTTGAATTCTTTTGACAGAGGTCACATGGGCTGTGAAGCCTACAGCCCTTCATAGAAAAAATATAGCAACTCCTGTCTTGTAGGGCCATTCTGAAGATAAAAAAGATAATTAATGTAAGTAAAGCCCTCAGCACAGTACCAGGTATGGAGTAAGCAGTTATTTGAGATTGTAATTAATTATTCTGCACCCATAGTTTAATTATTATATAATTCTTGCTATTATATCATTACTACTATAGTAATGTTCTTTGAGATGTAACAGGGTTACATTCCCATAAATCCATCATTAGTTGAAAACATCAAAAGATGTGTTTCATACCCCGAATCCACTAAACATCAAGGCTTAGCAAGCCAGCAGAACACTGTAGTTACTGTTTCCCTTCCTGTGTGTAACCAGGAGCTGCAGCTTGCAGCTGCTGCCCAGCATCATCTTCCTGCTAGCCTAGGAAGAGATCCAAATTCAAGATTTGGAGTACAGTTCCTACTAAATGCATAGCACGTTCACAACACTGTTAAAGAAAAAGAAAAAAAAATCCCAGGTCAAACTGTTATAAGTCAGGGTCTATCCGTAGTTAGAGTTGAAGGATTTTTCTTCTTTAGCACCTCTCATACATAGCAAACATGTGCAAGGTTCAGCTTCAGCAGACAATAGTGCTTTGGCTTCCCAGTGTCTCTGTGAGGGGTTAATCGAACACACTGAGAAAGGAGATGTGAGTGTAGCGGGTGGGGTGGGGAGGAAGGCTGGTCACAGTGGCTTCTATGGATGGACAATCTTGTGGTGCTGAGCTGTGCAATAATGACAAATCCACAATTTGAACTTCATTTCTCTTTGCCATTGGCTCTTCTGCCTTGCAACCTTCACAGTAATGAGGGACTGGTGCAGATAAGTCTGCAGCTGGCCAGAGAAATGGGAATTAATCAGAACTGCTTGTTAAAAAAAATAATTGCCTTTATCACCTGCATTGAATTTAGCCTTGCCAGAGTTTGGCTGTGATCCTGACTTGAGGTACATGGATCCAAGGCATAGGGGAAAGTCTATTACCCCCAATATTTTCAGTCTGGAGAGAATGTGGAATGATTTGTCTCTTTTAATAAAATTTCCAGACCAATTTCTCTAGCTAATAGGTTCTACCATGCCTCAAATAAGCCTCCTATATTCTGAGATGCCTGTCTGCCTTTGATTTTCCAGGTCACTCTCCCAGAATATCTAGGGGGTTGGAAAAGGTTGCAGGGTCCTTCTGATCCTAAATTGGAGTCATCTTTTCACTTGGGTTCCCTAATTTGTGAGATGATCATGGATGACATTCTGTCTGGTGAGGTGTGGGCAGATGTGGGTTTGCAATGCCATGGATCATCAGGGTCTTCCTGCAGCCCAGGACTTTCCATGAGAAATGGAAGGAAGAAGCGGGGGAAGCCAAGTGTGCTGATTCAAGTGACCTTTTGGGGCTTGGAAATGATTCTCATTAGCAAGAAATATTCTTTATGGTTGAGCCCATGAGTGTCCTAGTATTCAAGTGTTTGGCTGTATCTGAATGGGAATTACTTTTCTGGCCTGTGCAGCCCAGCAAAAGGTGAGAAAACACATTGAACTCTCTGCTTGAAATGCTCTGTGTTCAAATTCCTGCTCTATTGGTTTCTAGCAGAATGACTGGGCTGCATTTTTTAGCTTCCCCTGGTGGTAAGTGGTTGTGAATTTTAATGCCTCATAGCACAGGGATCTGTATCTAGTTACTTAGTGCACATGATCTATAATTTCTAGGTAGTGTGAGGAAGAATTACTCAAAACAAGATAGGGAAAGGGAAGGGTTCCCCCCGCCCTTCCACTTTATAGTCCTTATGGAAATTTCTCAATAAGGAATGGCCCTTATATGAAAATTCTGACCAACCAGTTTGGGATGTCTGTGTAGACAGGCAGCATTCGGGATAGGACACTGTTTTGTATGCCTAAGGAGAGAGACCTGTGGGTTATTCTTGAGAGAGACTAAAAAAATAAAAGAGGAGTGTTATAGAATCAGTGCAAGGTAGAGGATGACTCATGTCACGTGATCCCTCTCTCAACCTTCTAACTAGTCCATAAACTTCTTAAAGCACATACAATGCTCAGTGACCATCAACGTAGTGTTAAATCTAGCAAGAAACTATGCTTTGCCTCATAAGTGACATAGGAATGGAAAACATTACACATGTGCACAGAGAAGCCAGACCATGGGCAGGTAAGTAACAGCATTTTTCAGATCTCTTAAAGAGGGGAAACTTCAGTTTTCTTAAGATCCTAAAAGGCCAGCTTGGTTCTCTAAGACCATGAGGATCTAGCTGACCTTATACTTAATGCAACCTTGGTATTTTCTTCTTTAGATGGAAAACTTAAAGTTGGCTGTCTCCAATAATAGATTCAATTCTTTAGCTTAGAGTCTAGACCAAGTGTTTTGTTCATCTCCTAATGCTTTCTTCTAACCTGCCTTTTCCAATGGTCAGGGGAGGGCAGTGTTGCCTAAGAAGGCCTTATCACAGGTAGCGGTGATGACTACTGGCAGGACCAGTCGGTCCAGTTGTTGTGATGATTTAGAAATGGCTCCATTTCCTCCAGAAAAGCAGAAAGCCTTTGCTATTTATTGTCAGAATGAGTTAAAATGAGCAAAAGTTGAGAAGCTGCCCTGGCACAGCTGCCATACATTATTCCACAGAGTGATCTCCATACTGTTTGGGCGATGAAAAGATGTCCTTGGGGGGTGCAAGTTCACAGGTGAGATACGACAGATGCAGAGGGAACCTCCCTGTTAAACATCTTTTCTTGCTGATGGAATTAGAAAGCTTGTTAGTTGCTGGAATGAACAAGCTCTGATGAGTTGAATGAGAACTAGCAGATGGGCCTACTTTTGGGAAAAAAACCCCTACAATTTTAAAACGTATTTCAGGATACCTTTGTTATGTCTTTTGTTAATTAGAAATACTTTGATAAAATGGAAAGGTCAAGTAATATCATAGATTCAGGTATGAAAGACTATCTGGGCCTCTGTGATTCATAGTGGGGAACATCAATCCAGGCTACCTAAAGGTGAAGTCAATTAGTATTTTAAGGAGAGAAATTTAAAAGGGTCACATAAATTGG